TTATTATTATTATTGTTGTTGTTATTAATATTATTATTATTATTATATTACCAATATTATTATTTTATTTTAACGTATAGACCCATTGTCTTATATATTTTCTATCACATCTGTATTTTTTTGATTGCCTATTATTGTTTAGTATATGCCTTTTTATTCAGTAATTATATAGGCCTATATATATATATTTCTCTATTTCTGTATATCAAATAAGAGTTTCTATTTCCGCCTTTCTGGCTTGTTATAGAATTTACCTGTTTGTTAACATGTTTTTGCTTATTTGCTATTTATCATGTTGAAGGGTGTTTAATCTAAGCGGTTCCTTTATTCTATGTCATTGCTTATTTCCATTATTGTTATTACCGACTGAGATTTGTGTTCCCACGCTGATATTAGTCTCATTATAATTACAGTTCCCAATTCATTTATCTGTTAATTATTCCTATTCTTACTCCGCCCCTTAGTTTTTTTTGTCCATTCACCATGTTCATTATATTCTATTAAAATGTCGACCAACCATTTTATACTTTTGTAATAGCCAACTTATATCTGTCTCTTATACACATCTAGATGTGTATAAGAGACAATCCATGATGACATCGATTTGCAAATACCTAACTATAGCATGATACGGCGTGACAGAGGATCTTTACTTTATTTACCGGTGTGTCGAACTGCAGGCATGTCATCGTGAGGCACCGCCTTCAATGCAAGCCCAACTGCAGGATCTCTTTGTACGGCGCCTGTGCGTGCAAGTAGGTACCTGTGAGCTCAGGGAGGTCTCCTGTCGGCGCGTTCAGTATCCAACACCATAAGTAGTACCAAAACTTAAAATAAATAAATAATAGGAATGTGTTCTAATAATATTGTGCAGGTCTTTCTCTCATACAACTGACTGAAACGCCGCGTTTTGAGTACTGTTATTATTATTCATCTATTTGTTTATATTTTTTACGAGTGCTACGCATCAACTTGATTTAAATATTATTGAAGATGTATTCCCAACTGCGACCTATAAGCTTTTCTATCTTAACTACAGCTCCACTATGTGTGGGGTGTTTCAGTGAGTTGTTTGAGAAAAAATTCCTTGTGGGTTATAACTGCACGATATCCTATAGGTCTCTGTGGTCTGGGAAGGATATTAGTCTTGACAGCGAGAGTTTGCAGGTCCTAATCCCGCCCGAGAATTTTTTTTTTCATATAACTGAAATAAGAGACTATACATACATATCATCAAATAGTAAATACAGTTTTCGAATAGAGGACATGATGGTACATCGTGTACCATCTCTCTTAAGGGATTTTGTCCTATAAATACATTGTGTAAAAAATGCCTTAAACGAGATTCGAACATGCGACCACCCGCTGTCAATCAAGCCGAGTACCATAACTATTAGACCACATGGTTAACAGATTCACATAACCATGAGGTACATTGTATTTGCAATGGTACGCCTCGAGATGGCGTTAAACCAGATGAATCTGGAAGTATACAGAGATACATCTGGTACATATTGTCTATAATTACAGGCTTTAGCATATCTATTGTTCTATTATTAAGCTTACCTTGATATCAGATTCCATTAAACTTGAATTTGAATCAAGCAAGGCGAGCTCATTCTGTGATATGCATGGATGTTGGTTTGCTGTATCGTATACAAACACTGTCCAAAATAAAGCCAAAATCAAGCCTACACTCCCTGCGTTACATCATTTTCCGCGTAGAATACAGGTTCGATAAAAAATGGAAAAACAATAATACAAATATTTTACCCAGCTGAACACTAGTATGGGAGACCGGGGTCAGTTGTTACAGGGGTAGATTGCTACAGTGTTCTTTTCCCCAAATAGGCCATTACCACACATTTCTGCCTACAGGCAGAACTATCTGTGTTTCAATATAAAAATAGCACATGGGGTAAGTTGTTACGGGTAAGTTGTTACTGTAACAAGGATGGTCACATAGCGAGTGTACCGAAGTAGGGGAACTTTACACGTGCGTTCATTGTAAAGAAAAAGAAATGGACATTTCTGATTGTGTTGTTGAGTAGCTAAAATGCATTTTAGTGCGGTCTTACAGTTAAACATAAGGCGAGAATAATAATGTTGTTGTCTCTTTTATACACTTCAAAACATGTTTGTTTGCATATTTTAAACATTTTATCTAGTTTGTACAATGTAACAACTTGCCCCACATGGTGTTACAATATACCCCGGACCAGGGGTAATTTGTTACAGTTGATCTACTTCATTACTTAATTAATGATTAATTAACGGATTGGTATATGACAGTTGTAATTGCTTCGTTTTATAACCAATATACTGTTCTTGCATTAGAATAGAAAATGTGTGTTGGTCTCATTCAATTACGTAATTAAGGAACAATATGTAAATTTTGTAACAACTGACCCTGGTCTCCCCTACAATGAACAATAATGTATAAATATATCTAGATAGGAAGATCCCTTGCTTTTTTCATTTTTCAAGACTTCTTTTTAGGACAGACTGTAGCCTAGTGTGTGCTTTACATTCATTATAATTACCATTATTATAACATGTAATGCATGAAATTCGTTAGTTTATTACCGTACGTGTAAAAGGACCATGACCATCCTCCAAGCACATCCGTTGAGCAAAGCCAAACAGACAACATGCTCCCGATAATCATACCTATCGACATACCTGTAGTCAGAAAGCTATACTATGAGTCTTTATCCTAAACAGTTAAACACTGTCATAAGCAACGTTGTCACTAATCCACAGAAAAGTAAAACGATATTCTTCGTTTCAAGTGTTAAGCATTAGTGGCACGTAATATCATGATTTACGGTATACTACCACTGAGTCGCAGTGGTATGGTGTATAGGGCCTATCGTTATTACCCACTCAACCGCGGGCTGACTGGGTTCCGTTTTCTTAGCCCGCCTTCTCTTCTTCTGGCAACATTTCTAAACGCTATTGTGCCAGACGGTGGGTCGATTGGATTGGATATATTCAGTGTAAACACCAAGGATAGCCCACGAAAGTCTAGAAGAAGACTTATTTCCAGTGGGGTCCTTCTGGTGGTGATTGGATCGGGAGACAATCCCCTACTCTTTTCCGAAGAGTGTACTGCGTACTTTAACGTGCACATGGGCCATAAATGCACACAGGACTAACGGCTTAAACGTCTCATCTGAAAGACGGTGCGCTATTGTAACTTGTATTTCAGCCCTCTAGCTGAAACACAAGGAGAGGCAGCGATGGGAACTGAACCGGGGACCTAGAGATCTCCACGGTTCAGCGCACACACAGCGGCTACCACCAGATCAGCCGACTGAGCTAAGCTGCTCTCTATTTCATCAAAACGTGGTAAGTAGGACCGGTGACACTATGGGTTGTTCACAGCTTGGGGTCAAATGTCACATAGGGGTCATTAGGATCAAAACCCTAAAAATTAATTAAAGCCTATTTCTGTGACAAATACCATAGCAAAGTAGTCCTTTCCACATATGCATTGGCATAAGGCAGGGTCTTTGGGGCGTCAAAGTCATTAAGGGGTCATTCTACTTTCTTTCTAGCAATATTTCCTAACGCTACTAGTGACACGATTTGGCCAATTTTAATAATTAGTCAGTAGAACCAGTGACATCTCCCATACATGCGGTGTTCGTCAAAGGTCATTAAGCTGTCATTCTTTTTTCTGGCAATATCTCAAAACGCTACTAGTGGTAAACGATTGGGCTGTTTTTCAATCAAACTTGGTCTGTAGAACCGGTGACACCTTCCAATACAAGTGGTGTTCCCAGCTGGGGGTCGAAGGTCACATAGGGTTAAAACTCCAAAAAAAAAGGAAATAAAATCTACTTCTGCCACAAATAACATAGCACAGTCTTGTTGTTGTTAGCTAATCCACTGGATGAAAAGCACGCTCACCGTTGTTTAATGCTGATAGATAGTGATATATGAAATCAAATTTTAAAAGTAAACTTTTCAAAATTATGAAATTGAGCTTAGATTTACCAGGAATGATCTCACTGGGTTCATGTTCTATTGAGTGACATGGCGACAAAAAAAAACTTTCAACTTTAATATTGCATAACACGTTTAACAACATAATTATCACAGTATCCCCAATGTAAAGTATAAGTTATTAAATATTTTTAACAAACTTCATTGATATTATGCCATTATTCTTTCAGTTCTACCTTGGGCATAATAAGGCCATACATTTTTAATTTTACGAAGAACTGGTGGATGGCAAAACGTGTAAATTTCCTACCTGCAAAAGCAATTGATATCATGGTATTTAGCTCAGATTTCGGAGCCCAGTTTTGCAGTAAGACGACAGTTGCAGGTATTACATTTCCCTACGAAATAGAAAACGATTCGTCTATTTGACTTTAATCCTTAGGCCTAGTTTGCACTATTAGCTCATGTACGAGTAAGGCCTACCACGGTGTACTGGTTCATACAACAAGTTTAAGAAATAATGTAAAGGACATAACAAAAAGATAAATGTACCAGCATTAGCATGGAAAATTATTATTTCACTGTTCCTGTTATAATGTAAAAATAACTGAATATTTGTTTTTGTTTTAACAAAGTTTTTTACAGTATGAGCTCCATTGAATCTTTTACACTCACAAACACATACACAAAGTCAGAATATTATGCGTACTTACCTGAGCCAGTCCGTCTAAAATTCGCAATGTCACAGTTAGGCCAACACTGACTCCAGTTGCCCATGGTATTAAGGCTGATAGAATACTCGAACAAATAATTGAAAATCCAATCATTCGTTTGCCGCCTATATTCCTAGCTAACCAACCTCCAGGTATCGGCATGAGTGTGTAACCGTAAAAGAAAGCTCCGAGTATCATTTGTTGTGTTTTTTCGTCCCAATCTAAAGTTTGCACCTGTTTGAAATTTGTTTTTAATAGTAAACGAGACTGCACAAGCAAACGATAATTATTGTGTTTGTAAAATCCCTTGAAGAACATGTTCATAATCATAATTTTGTTTGCCATCGGAATTGTGTACTTACTTTTAGTCAGTGATTGTTTTTTTTTCATTATAGATTTATATTTTTAATGCCGAGTCTATCTAATATCTTGTTTTTAGTGATTGTGATTACTTTTTTAAAGAAACAATTATATCGTTAAACCATTATTAAATGCCGTATTTATTCGAATAAACTCCCTGGGAGAAGGGTTTTTGAGGGGGCGTTTATTCGAGGGAGGCGTTTATTTTTTTGTGTAAGGTGGATACGTATACCGAAATAAACGTCCCTTAATTTCACTATAAATATGAACACATAATTACCGTCAAAATGTGTTATTGCATGATCATAAAGGCTTATGGATCCCAACCAGGTTAGCAAAAAATATATTGGAGTAGTAAAATATTGATAGAATGTGTTGAGAATAAACTTGCTTCCGTTAGGTTTCCCTACAGCATTTAGGGGTCATTTATTCTAGGGAGGCGCATTTATTCCAAATAGGCTCCAGAGGCGTTTATTCGAGGGGGAATTTATTCAAAGCGGGGCTTTTATTCGAATAAATATAAAATGCTATATTGAATATTAACGTACATTATTGCCGTTACTCTTGGCGAGAAAAGAAAACGTTATACGGAGAGAAAAATCAGATAACAGAAGAATTTTTATTAATTAATTAAGCAGATAAATAACCAAACTACAAATAAGAACATACAAATTTCAAAACACAACATGTGAAATATTTTGTAAGGCCAGATGTATTTGCAAACAAAAAACAAATCAAAATAAAAGAAAAAAAAACACACTGTACATTGTTATAAAACGAAGAATATTACTCATTTTATCGGCCTGTCTTAGAGTAGGCCTACTAAGTGACTTACAATAAAAAGCAAAGCATTTCATGAAAAAAAATTAACCCTTGCCATGGTTCCCTTAAGAATGTGTTATGACGTAACACAGAATAAGACCTTTGTAGGCTTCCAGCCCTGATTGGTTGGCGATCGACTTGTAGTACCGTGTATACTGTATGTGATTGGTTGAAATTTGACAGACCTTAACTTTTTTTTTTTATACCTGTCGGTCTGTAGATGCAAGGGAAGCTTAAAGTTATTTCCATTATCTTTATATAGGATAAAATAGAACTTTCCATTGAAAACGTTATACATAGAGAAAAAGCAGATAGGGCCTAACAGAAAAGAGAGAACATAAAACCAGAAACCGAAGAAGTTACAGACAGAAAACATTACATGGAGAGGAAAGCAATTCAAACACAAAATGCTACATTAATTGAAAAATAAAAGTAAGCAGATAAATAGCCAAACTACAAATAAGAACATACACATTTCAAAACACAACATGTGAAATATTTTGTAAGGGCAGATGTATCTGCAATTAAAAAAAAGAAAATAAGAAAAAAACACTGTACATTTTTATACAAGGAAGAACAATGCTCATTGTATAGGCTTGGCTTGGAGGAAGCCTACTAAGTGACTTACAATAATAATGCAACGCATTTCATGAAAAAATAACCCGGCCATGGTGCCCTTAAGAATTGAATGACGAAACACATATAATAAGACCTGTCTGTGCTTCCAGCCCTCTGAATGGTTTATGCAGTCGACTTGTATATTTTGATTGGTTGACACTTGACTGACTCGAGTTTGTTTTTTACACCTCTCGGTCTATATATGCAAGGGAGTTTTAAGGTTATTTCCGTAATCTATTAATAGGATATAATCAAATTTTCCATTGAAAATAATATAGAAACTATAGTGCTGTTTCATTAAACAAATTGGGACGAGTCAAGTCTGTTTGCAAAGCATCTAGAGCAGTTCTTCGTGGTTTTCCAGTGATTTCTCAGTGTTCACTTCTGATAAAACTTTCTCATGAGGATGCCATTTTATCCTCGTTAAGACGCTGTCGTCTGATGGCATTTACTTCAGGTCAGCGTTCAGGCGATGGAAGCACTCGAGATACTGAAGACAGTCGATACTCTTCTCTTTTGCTAATAAACTCGGATGATGCAATTGACTAATAGTATGTGATTGGTTGACACTAGACAGAACTAGACAGAACCGAGACGGTTTGTATAGATGCTCACCTATTGGAAATTCCGTAATTTATAAATAGAACAACATACAATTTTCCATTGAAAAAATGCAGAAAAACAGCGCTGTTTTATTAAACAAGGGAAACTACTGTACATAAATCTGCTTGCAAGACATCAAGATCAGATTCTTAGTTGTTATTCAGTGGTTTCTCTGTGTCCACTTTTGATAAAACTTTCTAGTGAGGATGTCCGATATTTCCTCGTTCAGACGCTGTCTTCTGATGGCATTTACTTCAGGACAGCGTTCAGGCTCTGGAAGCACTCAAGATGCGGAAGACGGCCGATACTCTTCTCTTTTGCTACTAAATTTTGTAACATGCTTTTATATAATAATCAATATTTCTACATTCGTCAACAACAAACCTATCCACGATGAAATGTCTAACGCTATCATTATAACCATTTTGACTACCGCTGTTATATTGATGCTGTTTTTTATTCGACGTCGAGTAATTTGGATGAATGAAGAAAAACTGTGGTATATCACTGACCAAGTAACATTCATACATCAACAACAACTGGCATTGTACGGCATCTATCTGCTTGGATTAGGAGTAGTGATATTTTCTATCATAAAATTTTTCGCAGTAGCTGAATGTCTTCCCTACCAAGCTAGCAGTCACCTTGTGAGAAATTTAACAACGTTGGCTTTCGATGTTGGCCGTATAATTTTCATATTCGTCCAGCTGGTTTTCTTTCGAGTTTTCAAGGCAGTGAAATTTGTTAGTACGTGCTTCTTTCGTTATAGTCTCGTCCTCATAATCGCTGCTAATGTCGCTTGCTGGTTTCAGGTAACAATCATTGAATCTATAGATCGAATATACCCCAAGGAAGAGCTGGAAATCTTAACTGATTCTTCGAAATGTAATAATACCCGAAACTATTATATGTGTTGTAAGTGCTATCACAAAGAAACGGGCATGCTTAAAACTTTAAAATATGCAAAGTTCATATTCATTCCTTTTGTAGCCGAATACTCTCTAATAGCAGCTGGGAGTCTTTTTCATTTATGGGGAACACTTAAGATGAAACCTTCCATCACCGAAAACATCCCAGTTAGAGATAGTAATAGGTCGTATGGCAGTATTCAAGCTCAGGAACCACTTCGTGAAAACGACTGTCCCTCATCAATTGTAATTGCGTCACTTGTATCGTTAATAAATTTAACAACGGCTGGACTTTTATTTGAAAAAGACTTTATCAAGATTAGCCCGATTTTGCACAGTGCTGTTGAAATGGTTTTCGGCTTACAACTCTGCGTCGTCGGTTTTATAGGACTCAAATTTTGTTCATCTCATAGATACGTGAGAGTCGCTTCTCTCACTACAGACGAGATATTACTTATAATTTCTACAGTTGGCCTCTTTTTAAATACTTCGTGTGTCTTTGCGTCCTCTGTTGGGGACCTTTGGATTTCCAGGGATGAAAAGCATCCATCAGTAATTATATGCATTATGAATATCGTCCAATCTATAACTGATACACTGAGCGTTTGGCTACAAGTCACGTTTATCCTAGCAGCTCATCGGCGTAGCTTATCGCATCCTCGTGCTGCAAACTCGTACCGTCTGCGAGAAACTATTCTGTATCTCGCGATTTGTAATATGACCTGTTGGATAAGTGACAGCTTCGTTGGTACGGTACAGTCTGGTAAAGATTCTCCAACGAATTCCATTTATTTCGGATCATGGTGGCCTATTTTACAAACTTTCATCTATCCCGTTCTTTTCTTCTATAGATTTCATTCTTTGCTGATGCTATGTGGTCTGTATATCAAATTTAAAAATGTTGGTTTACACACACAATTAATAGAAAACTGAATTATGGAATAGAACGGAACTACGTCAAGTGCGAATTAATAAGGGCATGGTAAATACGACGTATTCGTTTTCGTTTTCATAACAACAGGCATATAAAAAACAAGATTTTGAACTCGAATTTGCCTATTGTAGCCTTGGTTTAGTGTTGAATTGCACCCTCATTACCTATTAGCCGTGAGTGGCATCTGCTAGAAGTTTTTTGCTGTCAGGGATCTGCACTTCTGTTGTGCCATCATTTCACGAAAGTCATGCTGAATCACTCTCTGATGCCTTCGGTCCAAAAATCTCTTGACTTGCCTACTCTTCTTTCCGTTCATTTCTTTGCGCTTCATCACGAAAATGATGACTAAACGAATTCTCCTATATACCAAGGTGTTTAGGATATTGTTAAGGTTCAAATCCTCCCAGTGTTATAAATGCACTCACTTGATCGAATAATTTACAGGCTCGTGCATTTATTTAGGCTCAATAATACACCGTAAGGCCAATTCAAAATAAAACTATGTTTCTTATGATCTTCTCTTTCTATTTTTAAGATTTAAACCCGTCTAGAAAACAAAAATTTAGCGGATCACCTAGGGTAATGTTGTCTCATCTGCCCCACTTTCGTCCCCCTTTCCCTTTCGAACATCTCTGGATCCGCCCCTGTGATTGACTGTCATTTTCCCATATATGGGCTAGGTAAAGTCATCACACCCATATCAGGGCAAGGTGGTGTCATATATCACATTTGTATAATGAGCATTCACATGTATGTCATGTCACATTTATAGGCCTAGTTGTTAATGACCGACTGTAAACACGTTATACTTAAATCAGACGATTTTCGCACTGAACTGTCTTTGTAAATAGATGACAATGTGTTGACTGACATATCTGACAGTAATGCATTGAATGATAGCCGTTGAGGGAATACTGTGTATTTAAATCGTACTGTGAATAACAAATAACGGTAAACTAAAGAAATCATTTTTTTTAATGAAGACAATTTTACAGAAATCAAACCTAATGGAAGAGATAGGCTAACTAAGGTGGTAGATAATGAGCTAGCATAATGTCTTGGTTGTGTCATTGACAACAATTTAAGTTGAACTCCAAATACTGTACAAATAGTCTAGTAAAGCTTGTATCTTCTTTAAAAAAAAAACCTCAAAATTGAAATTCAAATAATAGTGTACTTACGTAGTATAATAACCTTCTTAAAAACACTTTAATTACTCAGTATTTAATACGGTACTACTTAACTTGCATGCTGTATATATGTTACGGGATAGGTTGTGGTATTACATATTTTGTTAAATTTTTATGTAGACCTATTATGTACAGTTTCTTTGTTATACCGTTTTATACATAGTCAGTGGAATATTGAATATTATCCGTATTAGTAAACAGTATAAGAGACAGGTGTTGTAAGTGCTATCACAAAGAAACGGGCATGCTTAAAACTTTAAAATATGCAAAGTTCATATTCATTCCTTTTGTAGCCGAATACTCTCTAATAGCAGCTGGGAGTCTTTTTCATTTATGGGGAACACTTAAGATGAAACCTTCCATCACCGAAAACATCCCAGTTAGAGATAGTAATAGGTCGTATGGCAGTATTCAAGCTCAGGAACCACTTCGTGAAAACGACTGTCCCTCATCAATTGTAATTGCGTCACTTGTATCGTTAATAAATTTAACAACGGCTGGACTTTTATTTGAAAAAGACTTCTACCCTTAATTCGTATTATGGAATTTACGCCCACAATTGTTATAATAGAAAATTTTTATTTTTTGGTGACGTAAAACTCACAATATAGTTAACATGCATATGTCATAAGTTTACGTCACTACCTGACAAACCCCGAACTTCATTCATGCATTACATAAATAGTTTCATGTTGCTGTACTCCAACATCACTGTCGCATGGTAACAACCAACTAACTGCAGACCATTTCCGGTCACACATTACTCTCCATAACGCAGCACTCCCTAGTTCCGTCACCTCAGGGTTTATTTTGTAATCCGATAGCAGCGTGACCACTCAAAATTGTTGATATACCCAATGACTCATTGGGTATATCCAAAGATTCAGCAAAAATTGCCCAAAATTACCCAAGCTTCCTGAAAATGCATTAAAATTTGAAAAATACGTGTTTTTCGCATGTATAGTTTCCCTTTTAGTTCAATTTATAAACCATTTTTTATTGTAATTGTTTGTGTTAATTAGTCTTAGAGTGCCATCTCCGGCCATCTATGGGTACTATAATTATAACTTAATGTTCTTACTCAGCCCAAACCATAGTGGGGCTGAGGTGGTATGAACTCTCCACCTTCCCCCTCGTTTCCTGAATCTGTCACTGAAAACCTGTTCATAAATATTGTTAATATTGCATCTTCAGAATCAATTCAGACCTCAAATTATCAAAATGCCTGAGTGCTAGGGGGCTCCGCACACTCGACCCCAGCAAGAATCTGCGTCCCTTAGACATTTTGGTCCACTATCCACAAATTCGCACTCACCCAATAAAAATCCTGCGTACGGGCCTGACATTGCCATTAGCGCTCTGGTATTCTTATTATAACGAAGATAATAAATAGAAGATAGAGTGGTTCGCGATATAGTTAAACCTCTATGAGGGCGTCCAGGGAGCAATTTTCCTCCATCCTAGAGGCGGCGTTACATGTTTATAATCAACAAATAAATCCAAGGTGCTGCTTGGGTTAGTTTGTTTTCCTTAGTTTCTCCACTCTATCAAATGGTCATAATTATTTCCTTCGTTTTAGAGAGGGCGGACGTTACACCAATTTTAAATGCAAAATACGTGAAGAGCTAATTCTTCTGCTATTGAAGTTCTTTGTTATAACGACATTTGTTGAAGAAATAGTTAATAGTTATTTCAGTTGCTTTAGGAAAATTGTATTGTGTTCTTCACAATACAGAAAAACTTGAAACTTGAATATTTCAAACAAAACGTATATGTATATATTTTCAAAAGGAATTTTATAGTATATTGTGCTCTTGAGTAAACATAAACGGTATTTCAAGTTATGTTATTTTAAGTTATGTTACATCACACCTACAGTATGATATTCTCCTGAAGCAGACTCACATCGAAATAGAATTTGCAGTACCAACTGCTACTTGGGGATCAGATTTTCAACACTAGTCACTAGGCGCAAGCTCGGTAGGTAGTCTGGTGGTATATGGCGCCAGGCTAGTTATGTGGAGGTAATGGAGGCCTCCAAAATCACTTGCGAAATTGTTTTGAAGTACAGTATTTGGGGACGTATTTTACTGAGTATTCCAGTACGCGACAACACGTCAGGTAGGGCAAAACATCACACCTATGACTGCTGAAGTTTAGAATTATTATTTTTATTGTTTCACTGCTTTAAACAAAATTGCCATGGGAGGCCTATATAGGCCTATTCCAGAAAAAGAGAAGGGTAACGGAAAGTTTTAAATATACTGTATTTAATTCAAATACTAATATTGTATTTAACTTTTCCATGTCTGTATTGTAATATCTATTGTATAAATGTTATTTATTAAAATAATTCATATGCAATACAGGATTCTTCACTAGCCTAGGCCTAGAGAAGGGGCCTATGCAAGGGTATTACAACAGATTTTGCATAGGCCTAGCTTTAAACGTAAACGAAGACTCTATAGCAGGACCGGGTAGCTGGACTAGGCTAGGTTTCTAATAGAGGCCACTCACTGGTCCGACCTTGAGGCGTAGCTTCGATCGTCCACACTAGTTGGGCCCGTAGGCTGGAAATGGACCCAACCGTTTGTTACAGGCCTTAGCAGCAGCACAAAACATGACAGTCTGCTCGCTAACGTCACATTAGTCACATCAGTATTTGTGATGCTTTCAGGTATAGGCGGTATAATTATGCATGATGTCACTATTCAAAAAGGAAAGTATAATACATACTCTAAGTATTGAAATACACGCCATCGTGTTGGGATTCAATATTTCGACATTAATTATGTCATCATCAGGAATGAAAAAATAATGAAAGTGGTTAAGTAGGTAAAGCTGGATTGTGAAAAATGAAAGTGCTTAAGTAGGTAAAGCTGGATTGTGAAAAATGAAAGTGCTTAAGTAGGTAAAGCTGGATTGTGAAAAATGAAAGTGCTTAAGTAGGTAAAGCTGGATTGTGAAAAATGAAAGTGCTTAAGTAGGTAAAGCTGGATTGTGAAAAATGAAAGTGCTTAAGTAGGTAAAGCTGGATTGTGAAAAATGAAAGTGCTTAAGTAGGTAAAGCTGGATTGTGAAAAATGAAAGTGCTTAAGTAGGTAAAGCTGGATTGTGAAAAATGAAAGTGCTTAAGTAGGTAAAGCTGGATTGTGAAAAATGAAAGTGCTTAAGTAGGTAAAGCTGGATTGTGAAAAATGAAAGTGCTTAAGTAGGTAAAGCTGGATTGTGAAAAATGAAAGTGCTTAAGTAGGTAAAGCTGGATTGTGAAAAATGAAAGTGCTTAAGTAGGTAAAGCTGGATTGTGAAAAATGAAAGTGCTTAAGTAGGTAAAGCTGGATTGTGAAAAATGAAAGTGCTTAAGTAGGTAAAGCTGGATTGTGAAAAATGAAAGTGCTTAAGTAGGTAAAGCTGGATTGTGAAAAATGAAAGTGCTTAAGTAGGTAAAGCTGGATTGTGAAAAATGAAAGTGCTTAAGTAGGTAAAGCTGGATTGTGAAAAATGAAAGTGCTTAAGTAGGTAAAGCTGGATTGTGAAAAATGAAAGTGCTTAAGTAGGTAACTACAGGAAAGGCTGTACTTAGATTGTGAAAAAGAAAACAACTTTGAGCAGACAACTAAGCAAGACTGTGCTGGATTGTGAAGAAAGAAAGGGCTTTGTAGCAGGTAACAACAATAACGTACCTTCATTCTATGAATATCTCAGGAAATCTGTGTAGGCCTACAGTTTTAAGACCAGAATTGATAAGAGTTGCAATAGCTTTTATCAAATGTGTTTGTTCTAAAATGATATGTGATTCAAAATTGAACTTGAAGTGGAATCAGTTGTTGTATTTACCAGTACAGTAGACATTGATTGTAGAACATCGTGCATTGTCTTTAAGTTGATTGATTGACTGGTTGATTGATTGATTGATTATTTGTTTGATTGAGTGATTAGTTAATCTTTCTGACCCATTTTATTATTGTTTGTATATACTGTTTGGTGCTAGGCCTTGAAAGTGAAAGTTGAATTGAATTTAATAGACAAGGCTGAGCTTGGATTGTGAAAAATAAAGACTTTGAATAGGCCTCTGTACAGGAATGTGAAAAAGCAAAGTGCTTGAGGCAGATAACAATAGGCAAGTCTGTACTTGGATTGTGAATAAGAAAATTACTTGGAACAGGCCACAGTAGGGAGGACTGTGCTACAATTACGAAAAAGAGAAAGTCTTGGACCCAAAGCAAGCCGCAAGGCTGTGTTAGAATTGTGCAAACAGTCATTGGAATCCGTCTTAGCCATCTTTACGATGATACGATATTTTATTGCGTGCACTTGCTTTGTAGCAAACGTCCTTTTCTATACTATAAGGCTTAATTTAAGTATCGCCATTACTGTGATGGTGCGTCACAACACAAGTTTGACTGTTGGTAAAATGGAGCTGCCACTTAACACCACAAAAAGCAACGACAATAATGTAAGTCAAGATTCACTATAGCATTTATTTAATGGTGGTATAACAATATAATGTTTCGTTAAAATAATCACAATTAAAGAGTAAATACATAGGGGCCTACATATCAGACAGACACGGAACTAAGAAATTTAATTTACAATCAAAAAGACAACCAATGTGATTAAAAGTAAGCAAACAATATTGTCCCGACGGCTAAACAAAATAATGATTATGAACAGGTTCTTAAAATGGAATTTTTAAAATAGAATATCAATTATTATTTGCTTGTGCTACTTTTTTTACTATTTAAAAAAACATTAAAAACAGGTGCAAACTTTCGATTGGGATGAAAAAACACAGCAAATGATACTTGGAGCTTTCTTTTATGGTTACGCAATCATGCCGATACCCGGAAGTTGGTTGGCAGAACATATAGGCGGCAAACGAATGATTGGATTTTCAATTATTTGTTCGAGTATTCTATCAATCTTAATACCATGGGCAGCAGGAGTCAGTGTTGGCCTAGTTGTGATATTGCGAGGTTTAGACGGAATGGTTCAGGTAAGTGCTCATATAAGAGCTTTAGATTTGTGCAACGACGCAACGCTAGAACGGAATCATGTGTGACCGTCATGCTGGGCGTCCTGCGATTTTTTTTTCCGTACGAAACATTTGCATGAAACTTCACTCGGGCCATCTCGGATTGACTCGAGTGAGTACGATACGAGGAACAAGAGCAGACACTTCGCAATGTCGTGACGCTCGAGTTTTACTATTATTGCTCTTTCTATGTTTACCTACGGTAGGCCTATGAAATTTCACGGACTATGTGATGTACGTCACTGTGTAACTA